CTAAGACGACTGTGAAGATGTGCAAACAGTGTTCTCTTGAATGCAGCACACCAAGATGAAGAGAACGAGTACTAAGGCAAGTCGATTAGGCGGATGGTGTGGAACCGCAAAAAGTGGCCACACACGTGTGTGGCTGTCAAACTTACGATCAAACTAGGCAAGGGGTGCTGTACTGGCTGCATGAGGTGTTTGAATCATGGCCTCAATTGCCTCTAAGAGCTCACCCATATCTTGCGACGTGCTATGACACAATGTTTCCAAAGGAAAGGAGTGTGTGAGCAGGCTTCAGCCGCAGGTTTAAGAAAGACAGACGACCCAAACATACCCGTCATGGCGGGGAAAGCGATCGATGGTTCGCCGCGCCAAGGTCATGAGGTCATGAAAGTCGGTCGCTGGTAGTCGCCCCGTCAAGCCGTCCTGGACAAGCAAGGTGGTTGGAACGCAGCAATTCGCTCAGTGGAGAGGGGGAACATAGAAAACAAGCCGTATCTCGAGCAAGGCATAGAGCACTTTGGAGAAGGTGGCGGTCTTATTGCCAAACACAGCAAACTCGGCCACCTACCCGAAGCATGACAAAGACACTGAGGGCATCTTGTACGCATTGGACGGATACATCGCCAAACTCAGTGGCTTCCGTTTGCATGCTAACCAAGCATGGCAGCCAGAGCATGAGAGTACCATGTATGCTGTTCCAAACCTCAACCGGGGCCAGACAGGCGAAAAAGATGTGACTGTTGCCAAAGCAAGGCACAGCTCACGCGCTCACCTAGCCATGAGTGTGGCCATGAGCCGTTGCACTTCGCGTTGCGCCTGCTGTGCAATACCCGCAACGTCTGGCGGTCGAGCTTCATTCTAAAACAAAAAAGCAGGTAGATGAGAGTCAACGCGGCCTCAGAGTCGTGAGAATCAAGTGTGTTCGAAAACAAAGCAACGTACCGCGCCTAACTGTGTGCGCATGAACCAAGCCAAAGCTGGTACCAATTGTTGCAACAGCGTCTCGAGCTAACATTTTCGCAAACAGAGACAACAAGGAGTTGGCTCTGGACGCACAAACATTGGACGCGATCTCAAAGCGAAATTCCAGACCTGGTCGATGATGCCCATGCCCCAACTAATCTTGTCGTTCAAGGCAATCAGAGCCTCCGGTTTCGGACGCTGAGCCAACAAGACTATGAAAACCATTCGGCAGGCGCGTGAGCAAATGGGGGCACACGCCAGGGCGTAGGCCGAGGCACGAGGTGTCTAATCAAGTGCGAGCGCTGGTGCATGCATTTGCTCCAAAATTAAGCTGAGGCAAAGACAATGGAGCATACCTTGCTTCTCATGCACATGACTGGTGACGCGACCACACATGTAATCGAGTGCCTGCGCATACTTGATGCTCAAGCTCTATAAAGATGGCACACCACAGAGTGTTTAGGCCACACCCGGCAAACACGAGGTGAGCATAATACCATCCAGGCAAAAAGTATCAAACAGGTTAAGGACGTACCAGCGTCAACAAGTCGACCGTGAGCTGCGAGGACATTGGTATGCTTGCATGGCGAGGATACAACTGCCGATAGACGTAGTCCCTAAATCGACCAGCAAAGCAAGAGTCCAAGACGTGAGGGCTGCTCGCACGCGCTTGGAAAAGGGGAACGTAAGCAGAGCGACAAGTTCTTGGCACGTACTGCGCCACCAATGCTGGTTGACCCGCCAACAGCGTTGTGGCCAGATCTGCTGCCACCATGCTACAGCTGCTCAGATGAAAGCTGCCAAGCACAAGGGGCACAAACCGTAAAGCGAGCCATCAGGACCTTGTTTGCATGTCGTGAGGCCATGAAGCAGCAAATCACGGCAATCTACCAGACCTGATTGCTTGAGGATCAGAGGTGAGTGGCTGGGCCGGGAAGAGGATGGCTTGCTGCAAAAGGCTCTGACTGACACTCTCGCCAACCACAATGACGTCCGTCGCGGAAGCAGACATGTCCATGGTGCGGCTGACGACAAGCTTGCGCAAGGGACTGCCACGTGCAACGGGTTCGGCCAGATCGCCGCCGTGGGCTAGGCTGGTCTCGTCGTCCACGGATGCTGTCTCCTCAAACACATCGTCGGCGTGATGTCTTGTCACGGGCTGAGTGGAACCGCCAAAGACGAAGGTTTGGCAACCATGGGGCCAATCAAGCGCATGACGATGAACAAGTAGGGCAAAGCGGCAATATGCAGGTGAGAATGGTTTTCGGGACCAGGCAGCCTGTATAATGAGTTTCAAGTTCCGGGCAGCCCAGACTTGCAGCAAACGTACCATAATGTCTTCAGGCCCGACGGTGATGTCATGTAGCTGAGGACGAGTGAAGGAGACTGCGAGCCGAGCACACAGGATTGAGCGCGACCCTGTGCCTGAGGCTGTCTGTTGAAGATGAGAATAGATCGTACCACGATAGAGGTTCTGAGCTGCCGTGACAGCCACCACAACGCCAGGCGAGAGAATGCCCTTGCTCAGCGGGTGCCGTGCTACAACAGGACAGAAGCACAAGCGCAGCCACATCCCCGCCGATCAGTGGACACAGATGGATGGTCTGGCCACAGAAGACGGAATCAGGTTGGAGAGAGCCTGCAACACACCAATCACTTGATCTCCGACACAGAATAAGGAAGGCATCTGTGGATTATCGTGCATACTCTCTGCCGCCCAGAAGTGCACGCAAAAGGGTGAGGCAGACCATGGTGCAACGACTCGGGCTGGCTAGCGCCCTTCAGCCCACGCCAACGCCAACGCCATACCAAGAAGGGTAGACTTGGACTGGCTCATATCTTGCCGTTGTTGTTGCACAAAGTGGGCACTGAAACGGCGAGGGCGGCCCAGTTGGCGCTTCACGGCAAACCATTCAAAATGTCGCATTTGCTTCAGCTAAAACATGTGTACCCGGATGGGCATTTCAGAGCATCGACCAGAATGGAGGGAACGTCAGTATATGACTTGAAAATTGACCTGTCCAGGCCACGCCCATTGTACATTATGAAACCCCCCAACGTGGAACGCTTCGGCTTGCCTGTACAAGGTTGGGAAAATGCTGGCCAAGGACGTCTTCAAAGCTATGCTCCTTCTTCAAGAGGGATCTGAAAAATGGTTGACACGCCATGAGTACGGCAGCCATGGTGTAACAAGAGACGCCCTGAACCAGTTGACAAGGAACGCACGCGTCCAAGGGTGGATAGAAAAACTCGTAGAGCGCCCAGCGTAGGAATGGACGATTGCGTAGGGCCGTCTCCAGACTGCGACCAAGAGCCGCTTGATGCTGGCGTTGGAGAGTGGGATGAGCGCCGATAAGTGTAAAGCACCGTAGCAAATCACAAGGGCACATGTCGTCATCATCCGGCACCTACTTGAGCCAGGGTAGAGGAGAGCACCATGCCCTCATGGGGCAAGGTGCCGCCCGCAGCATCTGACGCCAAAGACCAAGTGCAAGCGCAGAGTGAACCAAAAAAAACCAAGCGAGATGGAGCATTCTGGGTGAATTTAAGGCAAGATCCCACCTGCACCCTCGGAGGGATCGGAAGCTCGGTAAGTCGGGGGCACGCGAGCTCGGAGGATGCCCGGTCGGTCCGGGCTGTTGCCGGCGTAGGCGTCTTCGATCAGTGCATTGACATCGGGCAGAAACCCGTAACCATCCTCATCCTCGTCATCTTCGGGCAGGGGAACAACTCCATGCGGAGGGAAAAGCTGCTTCTTGCGAAGCTTTGCTCTGCAGACAGTGAACAATGGGTGCGCAGTTGAGTTTTGCGTGAGCTGGAAAGGCGCGCAGAGATAGCGGTTCCTATTGCACATGACGAACCTTTTGGGACTGCGTGTGGCCGAGTCGGGCGACTGCAGATATTGGGCAAAACCCACATCCTACCCGGTACATGGGAATGATGAGACGACTGAGGTGAGTTTAATGGAGCAGCAGCAGCAGCGCAAGCGCCATCGACGCCAGGCCGTCGCCTCTGGATCACTTGGTGGCGCGTCAGACTTGCTCGGCCGTTCCTACCTGAAGGAGACGGCTGACGGAGGGCGGGGCGCTTCCAGCGGCCTGCTGCGCCAGCGTGGGTGGGGGCACGCCCACGGGAGACTCTGGCGACGCTGCGCGCTTGGCCGCTGCACGCTTCTTGCGGGGTGGCATGCTACCGAGGTTGGCTACGCGCGTGACCGGTTTCCAGAGCCAGTCACCACCTCTGTCAGACAGCAGCAAGGGCACCTTTCGCTCCCGAATACTCTCATCAAACCCTCTTCTTGTCAATCAAATTGCTCTCAGTACCCACCTCTTTCGGAAGGAAGCTATTTGAACCGCAATCCGCACCGCCAATCGCATCCAGTGACACGGTGCGTGTACCGGTCTGGATGTGTGTGTGTGTCTGCGATGAGAGAGAGAGAGAGAGAGAGAGAGAGAGAGAGAGAGAGAGAGAGAGAGAGAGAGAGAGAGAGAGAGAGAGAGAGAGAGAGAGAGAGAGAGAGAGAGAGAGAGAGCTCACATTCAAACTGTTGGCGGCAGAACCAACGGTTCTTGATCTTTAAATAGAATGGTTCGGTCGTCTATTATTAGGGATGGCCTTGTTGGGCCTTGGTAACTGCGTATGGCAGCCGGGTCGGGTCGCGAGCTCACTTGATCAGTCGATGCCCCTGCTGAGGCAGTCTGATATCGGTTGGCTCACATGTTAATCCTGATTTGGTTCTTTAGTCTGTATCCTGCTGCCTCTCTGCTGCTGGCTCTGCTGCCCGGCATCCACGATTCCTACATGCGATTCAAACAACACCCCAATCCTACGACCCGTCATACCAAGAAGCGCCCGCGCTGGAACTGGCTGCCCTCCCACCCAACCCCTCGACCCCAGGACACGTCTTTTCTCTCCGCCTCTCCCTCAGCCTCTTCCTCAGCCTCTCCCTCCGCCTCTCTCCGATTCACACTCTCGCTCGTCCTCTCTCGTGCCCGCATCCCCGCATCCCCCTTCCGCCCCCCACACACACCATCACATTGCCAACGACAGAACGTCAAAACTCACAACACCCACCAACAATAAACTCGCTTTTCAACTACATTTTCCACCACTACCAACATTAATACATCTACTCAAAGCTCGAACCAACCAACATTAACCCAGAGGAGCGCCAAAAAAAAAACAAAAAAGACAAAAGGCGCTGGTCCCCGCGCGCGCTCTCTCTCTCTCTCGCTCTCTCTCGCTCTCTCTCTCTCTCTCTCGCTCTCTCTCATCTCAGAGTGTTCATTCGTCGCGGTGATCGTGCCGTGGAGAATGGTGATGGTGGTCGCAGCTGGATACGGGCTTGCAGAAGACGTGACCAATCACCTCCACGCACGCGCACGTCGCACTGCGCACTGTTGACGTCGTCTGCACCTGCCCTGCCGAGTACATCAACACACACGGCACCATGATTGAGACGACCCAGACCATCCCATCGTACGTTCAACTTCGTTTCTCGCGTGTGGCTCTTCTCTGGCTCTTGCCTCATCGTGCTCATCGTGCACGTATGCGCCTGTGGCATGGCAACAGGGCTCGGCGAAATAGTCAAGCTCATCGCGCCTCTGTCGACGCCACAAAGGTGCGCCCTTTTTTCCATGCCACCGCCCACCAATCATCGCGCTCTGACCCAACCTGACCCGCCACGGCTTGATTGCGCTAACAACAGCTGCCCACGCTTGGAGGCAGCCGCCGTGGTAGTGCCCGCATCAGGTACACATCGCGCAACTCTGGCCACCACCTGAGCCATGGCCATCGTCTCACCACTCGATGACCTCGTATCATAGCTCTCGCTTGGACTCACAAACCTCTTCCAACAACACGACCATTCCAGAACCGTTTTCCGTCTCTGAGGTTTGTCGCACCGACCGATGAAGCCGGGCTCGGGCTCGACGATCCTGGCTGTGCTAAATCACCACCAGGTTTTTGGAAGCTGAACCTCGAGAGCCGACCGTTTTGTCTGGCGTTCTCGTCTCACCCATACCCTTAATGCTTCATCACCCTTGTGACCGTAGCGTCGCTTGTCCTACCGCGAGCAACAAATGGTGGACGACGCCCGACGGGCACGACGTCGGCGAGAGCAGACAGACGAACTCTGGCGCATGTCTGTGCGTCTGGAGCGTGAGCTGCAGCAGGCGCGCGAAGAGCGTGAGCGTCGCCGCGAGACGGCGGTTTTTCGACGCGTGAGTCAGCAAGCCGAGCTGGAGCGTCATAATGAATTTGAGGCCGTTCAGTCCGCCATTCAGCAGCGCCGACGCGATTCGTTGCGCCGAAGAACCGAGGCAGCGCAAGCTCGCCGTGAAGAGGAGGAGCGTCTTCGTTCCGAGCGCCATGCGCATGAAGCAGAGTTGCAGGCAGTCATGGAGCAGCAAGAGGCAGAGGAGAAGGCTCGTGTGCGTGAAAATAAACGCAAGGCACAGCTTGAGGCCGAGGAACGCGCGGCCAAGGAAGCTGAGCGCAGAAAGGCACACGACGAACGACTCGCACAGGAACGGGAAGCTGCCCGCCTCGATATTGAGCGAGCCAAGGCCCGGCGTGCGCGTGAGGCGCGCCGCCTGGCTGCCCAGCAGAAAGAAGCCAAGTACGAAGCCGCACGAAACAAAGAAGCCCGTCGTCAGGAACTAGCCGAGAAGGCTCGCCAGCGCCGTCAAGAAGACCGTGCCATTCGAGCCCAGAACAAGGATCTTTTGGCTGAAACAGAGCGGGCGGAGGAAGAGGAGCGTCGTCGTCGCCAGGAACTGGCAGCTAAAGACCGACGAGAGCGCTTGGCAGCGCAGAAACGCATTGAGGCTGAAAAGCAACAAAAGATGGAGTTTGAACGCCAGCGTCAACAAGAGGCCGCTGAGGCTCGACGCGCAGAGGAGGCGCGACGCCGGGCGGAAGAGAAGCAGCGCAAGGTCGAGCGCGCCCAGGAACAGGCACGCAAGGAACAACTTCGCAAAGCCTACCTCGCCAAGCAGCAAGAGCTCGCACGACAGCAGCGAGAGCAGGAAGAGCGTCAGCGACGTGAGGCGGAGCTGCGTCGCAAGAAGATGGATGAACGTGAACGACAGGCAGCAGAGGACGAAGCCGAACGCAAACTGGCCGAAGCCAAGGCCGCCCTGCAGCGTAAAATTCGATGGCTACAAAAATACGGCTAGGGCCTGGACGACCCGTCATGCTCTGAGCATCGCCTGTAGCCAGGTCCAAGGGTGCTTGGGGCCCTGGTTTTTTTTTTTTGACCCCTTCGATGTATATGTGCGTTCGTGCGTGCATTTGGACTTATTCTGACCGTTTCTGACCGTGTGTGGTACGCACTTCCCCCTCTTCGGCTCGTGGCCGTCTTGCGCGGAATATGGGGGTTACTCCCGGTGCGAGCCTCTTGCTTGCTTTTCAAATTCGATTGCAAATCAACCATTATAGTCCTACGCACGAATCATCATCGTAGCTGGGCCGACGATGACTGCCTGGTTTTTAGCCCTTTGATTGGTCGGGAAGCACCAGCAGAACACCAAGAGTGCACCGGCAGCCCGCGCGTGGGATGCACCGAGTTGGCGCGCACGCTACGCCCTCCTGGCTTCACGGGCTACGAGCGAGCCAAGTGACATGCCCTCCTTGTCAAGTAGTGCGGCAACGCTCCATTGAAAAAGCACCAGGCGAGCTTTATCAGGGGGCATTCCCTGATTGAAATTCGAAAGAAAATAATATCGAAAAATTAAGCAAAATAGACCAAAAACTTTGACCACAAACAAAAACAAAAGGGTTGGTTCAATTATCTGGGAGGGAAGCAATTTATCGAAGGGCCAAGCTATGCACGAGTGTCAGTTTGTGCAGGCGGACCAAAATCAACGCGAGGGATCAAGGGTTGTTTGTCCACTCGCAGTTCACGTGCAGTCGTTGGAACCGCCGGGGTCAGGCACTGTAAGTCTTGCTCATCGCACCCCAAGCGATGGATGAGCGCCAAGCTCAGGGCCGGTGTCACCGGATACAACAGCGCGGCCGTCACGCGCAGGCTTTCAAAGGCCCCACCCAAGAGGCTTTTCAAGGTGGCCTGCGCAGCTACAACCGACAACGAACGCACGTGTCAGCAACGAAACCGTTGTGCCAAGCCCGGAACAATGTCGCCGGAGGAGCCCCTCGGTGCGAGCTGTCGCTACCCACGAACACACGAACCTGGAGAGTCGTCTCGCGCCAGCTTCCATGGCTCAAGCTCATTGATGAGGGCGTTACAGCGACGTGCGAGCGGTAGCAGGGCTTCAATGCCAGCACCAAAGTCATGTCGATCATAGCACGCGCGTACCTCCTCTGCAAGCGTGAAAGGCAACAAATACACAACGCGTAAGATGACGAGTCGCAGTGCTACAAGGAGGCACACCAGTTGGAGGAGAACGACGGAAACAACACCATACCAGCAACACTGGAACCCAACGTGATGAGTTCCTGACAAGGGGAAGGGGGGGGAGCGTCATCCACGGACAGGCCCGGAAACTCCAAAGCCGAGTTCACACGTTGATTGCTGATGCGAGACAGCAGGTTGCCAACGGTGTCGGCCAGCTCCTTGGTGACGGCGTTGAGTCGCCGGTAGCTGAAATCTGTCACCCATGCCATGACGGTGAATAAAATACAAGAAGGATTCGCGAGCTCGAAGGAGTCAAAAGGGGGCATGTTACAAAGCCCGCAAACGAACCGCCATCGGTGTCCAAGCGCGATTCCTTGAGCAGATAATAGCGAACCAAGTCAGGCACGCCATCGGCTTGATCCAGCAACTGCACAGGGTCAACCACGTTCCCAAGACTCTTGGACATCTGCAATGGAGCCATGTTTGGCGCCAAAAACAACCAAAAACCGGATCCAGAGCCACAATGGCATGAATGGGCAGGGCAGTAGGCTGCAAGGCAGGACACACAAGTGGGGGACGCAGGGAATACTGGGAATACCGATCCACGGTTAACAGTATGGCTATGCTCGCACCTTACGGCCATCCATGGTCCAGTGCCCATGCACAAGGACCTGCTGCGGTAGCTCCAACCCGGCCGCCAGCAAGAATGCGGGCCAGTATACGCAGTGAAATCTACTCAGTGAGCATTAATCAAGGCATAAAAAAGGTCACACCCGTCCGCCCGGTCCGCCAGGTCGCACAAAATGGCTCCTTCCGGGTGTGGTGCCACATACTTGACAATGTCCTTGCCAATAACGTGGAGCATCGGGTGCGTCGGCGCTCCTTGTGTCGGAAAGCCTTGGGCCGTCAAGTAGTTGGTTAGCGCATCGACCCAGACATAGATCTGCGTATCGCGTGGGGATGCACAGGCACCATCCATCAAGGCGACGCCACTGCAATCTCCGTCGGGCGCGCAGACGCAGGCAGCGCTCACTATACCGTCTGCTCTGGATCGTGGGGGACGGGTATGCCCCACTGAAGCTTGCGTCGTGGTCGTGAGATGCTCAGGTCTGGCAGTTTACTGTCCAACATGTTGAGAATCTCGGCTTTGCGATTGGGCGGCCAAATCACTGCATACAGTGGCACGGCCACAACAACCAACAAAGGCGCAGCCCCCGCCCCACAAAAGAACATGCATCAAAAAATAGAAAAACAAAAAGAAAACAGACGTCGAGTTGAGTGAGGTGGAACATGGGAGGCAAACCAGTGCAACTCTGGTCCGGTTCAGGTCGAGTACGTTTACCGTTGCTCGTCTCGACCCAACGACGAACGTCAGGCACAAGCGCCCCCAGCTTGAACATGTAGTTCTCCTCCTCCACCAGCTCCACTGGATGACCCGACTCACTTGAAACCTGGTACGGCAAGCCAGCGGAGATGAGCGCGCGAAACTAAAACTCTGTCTTCAGGCTTGGCCTGCCACTCGTGTCTTCAAGTGTACGCCCGCCCACGAGTGACAAGATGGTCACACACCTTGACAAGAGTGCCATCAGGTCCGATTCGGTCCTCAATTTGTGTTGACGTCAGATAGGCTTCATCAGATCGGCAGTACCAGCCGGCATAGGAGCCCTTGTAAATGTACCCACGTTCCAGCATTCGCTCCTGCCAAGCAAACAAGCAGAAAATATAAAAGGGGAAAGAAGGCGTGAGGGTTCAATCAGCGACGGAGTGCGGTATTTGTTTTGACCCCTCTCACCCAAATATGCGCAACGGCCCGATGGTGCTCTCGGTTGGTGGTGCGCATAAAAGCAGTGTTGCTAATGTTGGCTCGGGCAAAGAGCGACTGGAAGAGCCCTGACGTTTCGTCGCAAAAAGCTTGAACCTCCTGTCCCGCACGTTGGGCAGCCTCGAGTACCTGAGACAACGGTGCAGCTTATCCCTGTTAGAGAGTCTGTAAATAACGCGTTCAAAGCAGCGTCTACATGCACCCGCAGGCAGTCTGTCAAGATGCTCAAGCAAGTGTGTTTGATACTACATACCTTGGCCCCATGTTCATCCGTGCCGGTGGAAAAAAGCACCTCGGGCGCAGCTTGGCCATTTTGGACCCAGTGCTGCTGGCCATGCCAGCGCGCGATAGCATCCGTCAAGACCGTGCTGTACAAGTGACCTATGTGCGGCCCTGTGCGAGGGTGCCAGCCAACACCACCAAAGCAGACACGACAAGCCAGCATCAGCTGCGCAATACCGATCATGGGGTGGGGGTGCCCTTGCCACTGAATCAAATCGTACGTGCATTGACGTAGAAAATTGGGGTAGACACGGCAAGGCTGGAGAGTGATCGCCAAGATCCTGTGCTCATCACAGCCGTTGCCAGTGACCTCGGCGCCACCACCGCTTGCCGAAGCGCCATCCCTGCCATGATGGATATTAAACTCGCAACACACACAAACACACACACACACACAAAAAAAAAAAAGAAATTATTGCTTTTGACAACAAACTCACACAATTTCGTGTTTGAGACCACGTGCAATGGTGGGAAGGTTGTGCTGCCTGCCCGTCTCCAAGTCAAGGGGGCTGGGCCTGTGTTCTCGACAGTGGTGTGTGCATACACAGGCGGGGGGAAGAAAGGAGAGGCGTTCTGATGAAATAAGGCAGTCAGGGCTGAATTTCGACATCAAACCGCCATGAAGCATCAATTACAGCCGAGAGGGCATACAGAACAAGCGCCACATCCCCAGGCGAAAGGGCGGTGGAATGACTCGCGTAAATTCTTAACAAAAGAGCATAGGCTAGGGCTGATCGTTGCAATATGCAAGTAAACGAATGGCAAGGCACCAGGGGAGCCGAACACATAGGCGAGGGTCTGCTCACGACCTTCCTTGATGAGCAGGCAGAGTTGCGTTGCTCCAGTCAATGAAAACACGCCCACGAGCCCAAATGGGCACACGTAAGCGGCATCACTCAGCCATTCAAGGTACAAAAGCGGGTAACTGTTAGAAGCACATGACCTCGGCAAGGACTATAACAAGGCCAATGCTGCAAGGTGGCGAATGCTCTTTGAGGGTTTAGACCCGAAGACCGGCTCACTCGAGCTCGGGCCCCAAAGCAAAGCAAAATAAAATCCCGGAGCCAAAGCGGGCGACTCAGCAGTCACCCGCAGCAACATGCTCAGAGAATGGCTGGGTTGGCATGCTTAGAAAGCGAAATGAGGGCCCGAGCGCCATCATCATCCTCTTCGCCGCTAGTGATGGGACTAGTGCCCGAACCGCTGCCGACAGTGGCTCGTTGTGAGGTTCCGATGCTAGTTGGTTCTTCGTCTGAAGTTCCAACGTCCGTCAGCGACATGGAGCGGCGAGCACTTTGGCCTTCGCGCAGCGGGCCTTCATCGTCGTCGTCCTCCTCATCCGCATCATCATCGTCATCGACATCGTCATCGTCGTCAATGTCATCGTCGTCATCTTCCTCTTCCTCATCGGCATCTTCGCCAGCTTCGTCAACGTCGCTCGACATGGCCTTGGACAACGTGGTGCGGTCCTTGGAGCGGGAGGTATCATCATTCGTGACCATCTGGGAGGGAGATGGGTTGGTGGACGGTGCAATCACGGGTTCATCGGGCTCGGGCACCTCGTTGGGCTCGTTGTCGGTGTGGGGCTCCGACTGCGTGCTCTCTGAAGGTGGACTATGAATTTCCGAGGGTTCAACTCGTAGCGAGGTGACGGGCGAGTTGGATTTCATTCCGTCTGAGGGAGCTCGGGGTTGTCGCGGGGGCGAGCTGTTGTGTGGCCGCACTTGAGTGGGCTTGGTGAAGACGCTCCGCGACGCTTGCAAATTGGCGTGGTCATCAGACGATGCCTTGCGCGAGGCCCGGGCAGAGGCCATCGGCATGGACGGTGGTCGTGATTGATCATGTGAACTGACAGGAAAGAACATGGAAGGGGGCGTTGGCATCATGTACGCCCATGGTGGTAAGATACCTACACATGTTAAAAAATGAGATGTGGC